CTAGGGACTAGTTGTATCGATGTTTTAGGAAGAGAGTGAGTTTATGTGGGGGAAAAATTTCAAAAAATTTGCATATCTTTGTTAATTTCTTCGTGGAGTATAACCTTGTTCGGGTTTATGTTGTGGTAATTGCATGTTTCGGTAGTTCTCTTGATTTTCAGTGGACTGTCGTTGACATTGTAATTTCCTGTTTGGCTGATCAGTGAATTTTGATGCTCTAGGTAAGTGAGTAGTTTTGATGTAGTCTTGGATTGTTTGTATGTTAGCTGTTGCGTGGAGTTCGCGGATTGATGCGCAGAAATTTATTTTATATTTTTTGGAGCTTGCTGATGTGTGGTTTTAACTGCTGCAGTCCAGTTTGGTTATTAGTCTGACGCATGTTTTGTATAAGTTTGCTTTTATCCTGGTTTTAAGTTTGCTATTTCTTGAGATACGTAGCGGATACAATCTGTTAAGAGTAGGCTAAGCCAGATTTGTTCTGTTAATTATTGCAGTACGCCAAAATATTTGACCATGGATGTCCAAGGGATGTTTTGACCTACAATGATAATTTGATCAGTGGACTTGTGTCTTTTGTTGAAGGTGATGGTCTTGGCCGGATTAACTGTGAGTTTCCATTTACGGAAGTATTCTTGAAGCTCATCAAGGTGGGCTTGAATGTATTTTGTTGCGTCTCTGAGGCACTACGAGGAAGCAAAGATGGTAATATCATCGGCATAAACTGAATTTGGAATGTCGTTTGGGTAAAGGATAAATAGGAGCGGACCTAGGATTGAGCCTTGCGATATTCCTGCTTGGTGGTTGACGAAGTACTGTTGATTGAGGCGTAGAATTTTCTATTTTTTTGGTAGTAAGTTATTATGTTGATGAGCGAGAATGAGGTGTTTATTTTCTATAATTTGATTACGAGGGCATTGTGCCAGAGGAGTCGAAGGCTTTTTCGAGGTGTAGAAGAATAAGTTGTGTTGATCTTTTTTTTGTTTATTTCTAAGGTGATGTGTTCCATGGCATGTTGTAGCTGTTGGATGCAGAAGTGTTTTTTCCTGAAACTGTTGTGGGATGATTATATTGTTGTTTTTGACATGAGTTAGTAAGTGGATGAGGATGATTTTTTTGAATATTTTGCTAATACTGCTTAGAAGACTGCTCGGCCGATAGCTGGTGACTTCTATGCTGGATTTTCCCTGCTTTGGGACTGAGATTATTTTGACGATTTTCCACGCCGTAGGAAAATAGCAGAGTTTGAGGCACATTTTGAATAAGTAATTATTGAATAATTGTATGATGGGCCTGGTTGAGAGTTTTTTAAGTGCAGTTGTGGAGATTTTGTCCGGTCCCGGAACTTTATTGTTGGGGAATTTTTTGATTAGGTTTTTTATCTGCTGAGGGGTACTGTTGTGGGCGGGTTCGTATGTTTTGGGATGAGTGTATTCCGTGCAGTGTTATGAGTT